TATATATGTGGTACATTGCTTCAGAAAATTTTCATTGAAAACGGCGCTTTAGTTTTAATAAAGGTAATTAAAAATGCCCTTTTGTGTGTATAATTTCCGGAATGTTCACGTGTCCGAGTTGGTTTTTAAATGTGTGTCGTCAATATTCAGAGTGGGCGGGGCTTTTTATCGATCGACTGACCAAACATGTACAAAGTGACAGCAGAGACCTATACATAAACGTTAGTATATAGGTCCCTTGTAATAGCCAGTTATAATGAATAGTTTCTATAAACTACTTGTAGCACTTATATCACAATATGTCAAATTATATACAGAAAGGTAAACGCAACAAAAAAACAAAACAAATCATGTTCTTATCAAGTATTACGCCAGGTATTTTTTTTTTTTGGAAAAATGCGCGTGTGGGAACATCTTGAAAATGTTTAATTGGTATGGTGGGTTCAGATAAATCCTTGACGTTAACTGTTGATGCGAAATTATCTAATAATAGGGAGGCAAGTAACGTATGTGACGTATGATTGGAAAAATCAACACCCAATGAACTAGGCCTGCTAGTACATATAACCTCTGGTTATAATCTCACTTAAAATTATTTTAATGATAAAAAGTTAAATGAAAATAAAGAAAAATACTGCTTTGTTTTTCTTTTCAAAAAAGTGAGTGGCGTATCGAATTTTAAATTAAAAATTCTTTTACTCTCTCATTCTTTCTTTCACTATTCTGAAATACTGGTATACGGACTTTTGAATAATTATAAAAAATAATAAAATTCGCGTCGGAAGCAGATTAAAAGTGGTGGAAGGGGGGGGGGTGAGAAAAAAAAATGAAACAGAAAAAAATCGAACCTGAAAAAAAAGTGGGGGGTCGAAATTCTTTCAGTGCAATTTTTTGCCAAACCCCAAACACTTACCCTTCTTTGACTACAATGCAACCTGTGCCTCGTGAAAGTGACGGGACTAAACCTACGCCCCAATGTTCAACACCTGTATTATGTCCATCTTTGCAAAAGCCCCTTCGATTTGACGCTTACCTATATAGTATACTGTATTTTTGCGATGTTGTAAGAACAGATAATGACTAAGGCATATATTAATCTAATGCATTTTTTTTTTAGATCACCTGAGTCACTCAGTTGACCAATTGTTATCTGTTTTCATGCGTCGTCCGTCCGTTGTGCCTCGTCCGTCTTGTGTTATTATTCAAACATTTTCAGCTTTTTCTCTAAAACCACTGGCCCAATTTCAACCAATTTTTGAAAACCCCCCCCCCCCCCCCACCGGTGGGCCTGAGGGGTTGGGCCAAAACCACTAAAAATAATGCAATCTTTAAAAATCTTCTTTACTATTGGATAACAACCAGTCAAACTGTGGGTATGAATATAATAAGCATTGAGCCCTCTGCAAAAATTGTGAAATTCATAGCCCAAGGGCTGGAGTTATGCTGTTATGGCGGGGCTCTATTGAATATATACATGATGTAAAATGCATTAATTCTTTGAAAATCTTCTCTGCTCCTTGGTATTAACCAAACCAACTATCTTAGTACATAGTTATAATGAGCAAGGGCCATTCTTCCAGAATATTGAATTTCATTGTTCGAGGGTCAGGGGTACCACAGAGGGCGGGGGTGGCTCTAATCATATACTGAAAATGAATTAATGCTTTGAAATCTACTCAATATAACTCAAACATTTATGATGAACAAGGATAACTCTTCCTAAATTGTGACAAGTGTGGACCTAGGGTCAGGGGTTCGGTGGGGGGGGGGCACTACTGATTATGGCTGAAAATTACTGATAAGATGAAATGCATTTTTTGGTTCCCCTACTCTGCCTATAGGTATTAAGTAACCAAACTAAACATGCTAAGTGTATAGTTATGATAAGCAATGGTGCCTCTTTCAAAATTGTGAATGTCTTGGCCTCTGGTTTAAAACGCGAAACGACTTCAATTGTTGGAAAGTTGTTGCGTGATGCTCGGGTGACCTAGAAGGCCCATGGGCCTCTTGTTTTAGGAAGGCATATGTTCCAATTAGCTTTCTTTTATCCCACTATCTAAGTACATGTACTTGTACTCTGTGTACTGGTTACTTTACAATCTAAGACATTTGGAGGCAAGATGCTTCTACTGAGACGTGTACCGTGTCTCTGAATACCCATATACCAGAGGACAGAGGCCACGTGAGCACAACTACCCACCAAACGTGCCCCAGTCTTACACTGGCAATACCAACTTTTAACGGGGTCTGCAATATTTAACACGTCATATTTTATCCACAGATAATACGTCTTTGATGAAATATGGCGGGATTGAATTTTAGCCTGTAGAATATTTGGTATATTCTTTCCCACGTAAATATCGTAGCCCCCGTCTTCATTCAGATGTTCCGCAGAATATGAGGATGCCTGCTTCAGTTGATAGACCCCAAAAGTGAGCGAACGCAAGTAATCCTCAGTCAATTCGGGAAAATCTGGCACTGCTTCTGCGGCATCTATTTTCGTCATTTTTAGAGAGAGTCTTCTTCCGCTTTCTTTTATGAAAAGCTCTTTTAACGGATTAATAATCAATTTTGATTTTTCAATCATGTGTTTGGCAATTGCTGTATCATTGGCCGAGTCCTTGGCTAATGGGGGCCTGAATGCATTGATTAATGCGGCAACTATGCGAACATAGTCACCAATAAAAGGAATTTGAGTATTGGTGACTACGTTCGCCAAAAATTGCCATCGTTTCAAACGGCCATTTGCAGATTCCACCGCCCACCTGATTTTGGTCACCAAACGTGACAAATTAGCTTCCTCCGCAGAATGTTGTTTTTGCCCCCTTCCCAAAAAATATGGAGATTCTGATTTCAGCCCAACTGATTTAATAATTTCTAGTGAATCTCGAAACCCACGGTCTAAAACTAATATATCATTACAGTTTGCCCAATTTAAAATTCCATTCCCCTCATCTGTTAAGTGTTTATTAAGAATGGCCGCGTCATTATTTTTCCCGTCTGCCAAATATGGACCTAGTATTTCAACAATGTACCCATCTGATGCCACTATCATCATCGGTTTAACCAAGGGACGACCTTTATACATACTGAAAGACCTCCTTTGAAAAGTGTATTTTGAACTCTTTTGGATGTAAATGTATGTTCCGTCAATCAGTAAAATTGCAGTGTCGTTCTTTCCAGAGGCTAGCAACTCTCTTGCAAATATAGTTGTGTGTTTTTCGATAACACATTGTCTTGAAATATGTTCAAAACCAAGATAATTTGGTACAAAATATTTTATCAATGACTCCCTCGCTCGTTTAATGATTCTACAGATATAAGTACTGGATTTAACATTAAACAAGGTCTTTAACAAACTACTCGAGAGTCCTGTTCGAAGTTTTACAAGTAGTATCCCAATTTCTGTTCTAACAGAGTATTTTCTAGTTCTCGGCTTTTCAACTTGCAAACAAAGAGAATTGAATTGATTGCGAGTAATACCCGTAAGATTTACAAAATCTTCGTCATCGAAATCAAGATTTTCAAAGTCAATTCTAGAATTCTCATTTTTTTGTATTAGCTGTCGGCAACGAGACAGGTGCTCTAAGAGATCAGCTGATGATACAGATGTTGTAGTACGTTGGAGACGGAATGAATATTTTTGAAAATCAGTTTTCTTGATGGTCTTACTGTCAGCAAAATGGCAGATACAAGCACGTGCATTGTCATGTAAAACTACATTATACCTTACGAAAATATCGGTTCGTGCAATTTGAGGGATTCTCTTTAAGACTTTTCTCCGCATACCACAAATAGAACAAAACCTATGTGATTTTGTGCCTAAATAAAATGTCGACATACTGACATGGCCCTCGTTTTTATTCGAACACTTCAATTGTCCCCTGAGATAGCTTCTGTAGCATTTGTCACATATGCAGTCGTTCTCCAAGACTTTTGTACCTAAAATACTAGAAAGATTTTCCCTGTGTTGTTCATTTTTTACTCCCTTCAAACCTCGGCGCTTACCAAAAGGAGTCCTCCTATTACAACATGTACAATTGAATGATTTCGGCATATTTAGTGATACATACAAACAAAATATCAAATATAAACCCAGAAAAAGCTCTAACCTATCTATATTTCCAAAACTTACCTTAACCCAACAATACAAATAAAATGGAAAGTGAATTGAAAACACAAATATAAACCCAGAAAAAGCTCTAACCTATCTATATTCCCAAAACTTACCTTTACCTAATAATACAAGAAAAAAATGGAAGGCGAATTGAAAACACAAATACCTACTTTTGAAAGAAGCAAATGCCAATAATGAATAAAAAACATACAAATACTGAATATTTTAGCAATATTTGGAAATAGCAACAATATTTTGCAGAAGCAAATTACTCGGTAGATCGATTGAAAATAAAGCGGTTTGGCTTGGTCGCTTTCAACGAAATGCTGTTCAGATCTGAACCACGTGATTTATTGATTTTTTTGTATTCACAAGTTACCTGAGTCTACAATCACGTGATAAAGGGGAATATTAAACAGGTCACAATGAGGTCAATAGCATGTAAATACCCGTGTCAAGTGAAGAAAACGACTGCTGTTTTGTACAATTTTTTAAAAAGTTTACATCGAGCGCAGGCTTGCCCAAAATTCTCCCTTGAATATGTTGAATTTCCACTAGTTATACATCTTCTGTCCTTTCGAGAAATTTGGGCAAGAATGCGCTCACTATAAATTATGGCTTTGTAATTCGAGATATCTTTGAATAACAATGGAGATTTGTGAAATTGGCTTAATCCTCCTACAAAAAACATCGTCGCTCTTTATATTTACAGACTTTTAATTTATATAATTTCGCAAAGTTGTGGTTTAGACATGTAAGAATCGTTTTGTGAATCTTGTGGGACTTTTTTTCATACTTCATTTTTGCGCAATTTACCGGGGGCCACTTTTTGTACACTAAGTGCAATCATTCTTTATAGTAACAGACAAGAAAAAACTTGCAATACAAACTTCTATTTTATTTCTACTCACAACATGATTGGAGAAATAAGTTTCCTCCATTCACACACTCAGTCAGTGGTTATTGGCAATTATAAATGTGTTCTGTAGAATAATTCATTATGATCATATATAATAGGCACCTTCCAACAAGGGAATAAACTGTCAGGCTGCCCCCATTACTTGATCATGGATAAAATATGTTATCTGTAAGAATTGAAATTTCCAGTTTGTTCCATTATCGTCTCTTTTGAAGATTCTCTAGGTTTGAATCAAAGTCTTTGTCAGTGATATTCAGCATTAAACTCCCAGACTGTAGATACACACGATTCTGTGCAGCTGCCAACTGAAAGACATTAAAATGAAGGTTAACTTACTGATTCTATCAAAAAACTTTTTAAATACAGTTGAACTTTGATATCTGGAACACTGAAATCTCGAATACCATGAATATGTCAAAGTGATTTGGAATTCCAACCGCTTAAAAGTATTTTACACTAGATATCTTGAATCCTTTGTTATTTTAAAATTAATTTTTATTCCCATTGAGTTTCATGATATTGAGGTTCTACTGACAAAAGATTCAAGTGAGTTAAACCTGTTCAGTTTTAGGTTTTTATCAAAAACATCAAGTGAACAAAAGATGACACAAAAGTCAAATACACTTACAGTTTTGGCAATCTTTTGGGCAGCTTGAATCTTTCTAAGTTTTAAAAAGCCAGGATTTTGTTGAATGGCCTCTCCTATGTTCATATTGTCAAGGATCATAAAATATCATCGATATCTATGCATTAACTTGTCAATGTATCCCCAAAGAGGCTGTTCTACAATTCTGAATATATTTACAATATGATATTTTATTTTTAGAGTATTTCTTCTTGCAGTCAATCTGTGATTTATTATAATTATGAATTTGTCCACACTTTGCATACTACCAATGTAATATGTTGAAGTTAATCATAACTTTTTCCTTATGAATTTACTGTAAACCAACTATTATTCGCAACGACTTTATTTCGCGATTTACCAGGGATAAATTGGTTTGCGACGATTGATTTTCGCGATCATGCTTTTTTGGATTTGTTTTTATAGACATATACACTTAAATGACCGGTTCGCGGCGAGAAATATTCGCGATGACGAGGCTCTCGCGAACTTCGCGAAAATTTCTCGCACGCGAATAAAAGTTGGTTTACAGTATAGCTCAGATCATAACATATCTCACTGTTTTTTCTTGGCTCTATCAAGTTACCCATAATGATGTTTGATTGTGTGTTTTTTTTACAATAAATCAACTAATTTTAAAAAGAAAAGCATAATAAAAATACTCTGAAACTTATAAAAAATTCCTTATCATTGTTAAAGATGTTAATAGGTTTAATACTTCTGGTCATTACTTTTTAACCTAAGCCTAAATATTATGTTAAGACTTCTAACTTTATATTTTTCTGGTAAGATTAAGATGTACATGTAACAATTCTACAAAAGGATATAAGTTTGGCAGCCTGGGCTTCACCATCAGCCTGTACTATTTTCTGCTGTTTTTCTTGTTTTGCCCTCTCAACATAGAACTGGGCCCTCTGGGCTTCTTGCTGGGCAACCTGTTATACACATAACATAACATAAAATAGTATGCTTCTAAAATTATGTAAAAAGCAAAATTAAATGAACCAGTCTCACCTTTTCTTATTTTTTTTAAATATACGTAAAAAGGCAAGGGGAAAATCCATGAAAATTAAGCTGAGGTCCCAGAAAATGGAATGAAAAGCTATTCACAAGACAAAATGATAATCAAAGTTATGGACCAAAGTACATGCGAAAGAATCTAAAAAAATATCATTTTGTTACCTGTTTAGCCTCAACGGCTGCTGTGTACTCTTTCCCAAAGCTAAGCTCTGTTATGGACACGTCGTCCAGGATGATGTGGAAGTCCTGGGCCCTCTCGGTCAGTTCTCTCCTGATTAGCATACTGACCTGCTGACGTTGTGTGATTAACTGTGACGCATTGAACTTAGCCACCACGGACTTTAATACCTGTTTACAACAAACAATGAGTGTGTTTAATGTAATTATTATTTATAAAACTGCACTGCAATGTAGAAAATCAGTATTTTAAATGAAAATAGGTCATATCCTGAATACAGTGGTTAATTGTAATTCATATTCATTGGAAAGAAAAAGCTGTCATGGCATAGTATACAGAACAATTTTTTTCTTTTTGTTAACTTTTTGAAAAGTAAAAAGTTGACAAAAACTATCACTGCATGTTAAAGAATTTCAATTTCAAATAATTCAATTTTAGTTGTAACATGTCATTTGATTAGATAAAAGATTTTTACCCATTTTGTATAACATAACTTGCCTACGTCACAATGAGTTACTTCAAAAACATATTGCTCCGCTTGACGTAACGTTTGAAATATGCTAAATTTGAAGACTACTTCTGGAGGAAAAATTGTCTCATTGTCTATACTGAAATTAAATTATAAAGAATGAAGCTTATTTCAACTTATGTTATACGATATACCATAACTTTGGACAGTTTACGCTGTTTTATAAACCGCTTAGCAATTTATAAAGCGTAAATTGCCCAAAGTTATGTTATATCATAAAACAAAAGCTGAAATACCGGTAAGCTTCATTCCTCAAAAACTTTTACTACAAATGTAGTTTGCTAAATGCCAGGTGTGTTCAAAGTGTTGTCTATCAAAAGAAAGTTTTGAACACCTTTTTTTTCTACAAGAAAAGGTTTTACTCCAGCATACCTCATTACAGATTGAGGGCAGCACTCTCTCATCATAGTCTGTGCCTATCTGTCTGTAAATCTGTGGAAGAAATGTCTGATCTGGTCGTGACAGGACTCTCAATGAGATGTTCACCATCTGTAAATCTGTGTGTAAAATGCGCAAAATATTGTGAGAAAGTATCTGCATATGTAATCTTAGAGCAAATTCTGAAGAAATGTCTAAAATGCCTTCCAACAGTTAAATCCCATGGTTTTGAACATTTGCATTACTTCTAGTGTTTTGTAGGGGTGGGACGATACACAGATCTTGCGATACGATACGTATCTCGATATATTAGTACAATACGATACGCATCTTGATATTATGATAAATTATAAAACTATTCTAAAAAAGTATTTTATTTCATTTTCTGTCTTGACATTAAATCAACTATTACATGATAAATTATAAAACTATGCAAAAGAATTAGTATTTTATTTCATTTTTTTTTTGTCTTGACATTAAATCAACAAATTGTTCTACATCAAATCATGTGTGCTTTGAAATTAATACTTGAAGTTCATCAATTTCATTGAGGGCTAAAACTTTACAAAAACAATAATACATGTACATATATTATTGTTACCAAATTTCTACAAACAAGTTGTTTACAAACAGTTGTGTAGTTCATCAAAGAAGACTGACTAAAATTTCATATTTTAAACCAGAAGTCTCTGTCGAGACTGTAGCTCTACTGGTTTGTACTGATCAAAAACCGATGCACAGAATTATGTATCTTAGTGTAGTGTACTTGTGTGATAAGTTATATTGAAATCAGACCAAAACTGTAGAAGGAGTAGCATTTTAAAGGAATTCCACAGAAAATTCTACTTTTAGTAACCATGGCAACACCGTTCATTGAAATCAAAAACCGATGCACTATTACACTGTAAATAAGTGTAGTTTACTTGTGTGCCAAGTGATATGAAATCAGACCAAAACTGTAGAAGGAGTAGCGTTTTAAAGGAATTTCTCAGAAAATTCTATTTTTAGTAACCATTGCAACACCGCTCATCGAAATCAAAAACCGATGCACTATTTTATGTATCTTAGTGTAGTCTACTTGTGTGCCAAGTGATATTGAAATGAGACTAAAACTGTAGAAGGAGTAGCGATTTAAAGGAATTTCTCAGAAAATTCTATTTTTAGTAACCATGGCAACACCGCTCATCAAAATCAAAAACCGATGCACTATTTTATGTATCTTAGTGTAGTCTACTTGTGTGCCAAGTGATATTGAAATGAGACTAAAACTGTAGAAGGAGTGGTGTTTTAAAGGAATTTCACAGAAAATTCTATTTTTAGTAACCATGGCAACATCGTTCATCGAAATCAAAAACCGATGCACTATTTTATGTATCTTAGTGTAGTCTACTTGTGTGCCAAGTTATATTGAAATCAGACCAAAACTGTAGAAGGAGTAGCGTTTTAAAGGAATTTCTCAAAAAATTCTATTTTTAGTAACCATGGCAACACCGTTCATCGAAATCAAAAACCGATGCACTATTTTATGTATCTTAGTGTAGTCTACTTATGTGCCAAGTTATATTGAAATCAGACCAAAATTGTAGGAGGAGTAGCGTTTTGAAAAATTGTTTACAGACAGACAGACAGACAGACGGACGGACGCCGGACGCATTACTATCGCATAAGCTCTTCTGGTCTCTGACCAGTAGAGCTAAAAACAGCAGATTTACATTATATTAATCAATTGCTGAAAGTCTGTAGCCTAGTTGAGATTACAAAAAAGCACGAGATGGACTAACAATTCATAATATCAAATGTTCTGGAAACGATACTTTCTCTGTATAGCACGCTTTACATACTGAACTTTTCTTGTCCAATCTTCCGAAGCTGCTTAAAAGTAAAAACGTTTTACCCCTAATCAACGACTTATTAGTTCTATAGTGTGTTTTCAATATCATCATCGTCTCTTTGCTTCGTACAAGCCGCCATTTTCCAAGGGCAGGTACTTTCATTTTCAATTTTTGGATAGGTCGTTCATGTATCGTTTCGTACCGATATTTGAATGCTTGTATCGTAAACCGTATCTTAGAGGAAAATATCGATATGTATCGGTGTATCGGTATATCATCCCACCCCTAGTGTTTTGGTTTTTTTTTTCACTTTATTTCATGGAACTTGAACAAATCATAGGAATGTACTCTAATTTTTTTTTCAAAATACCTTTGCTTCCAGTTGGTGATGTAATTCTTCTTGGTTTTGCTCTGATGTCATATATTATGGGATACTGAAACCATGGTACCCTGAAATAAACACAGGTAGCCAATTCATTGTACAATCATTTAATTTATAAAGACATTGTATGTTAATATTCTAGAATCAAGATTGAAAAGAGTGCAAATTAAGTCGAAAGTTTAGTTGAGTAAATGGGATCTAGGAATTTAGCGAGGATTTAATTTTGGCATTACAAGTGAGGGTGCTGAGATAACTCAAATTGAATTTCGCTAAAAATTAATTGCGTTTTTATTGTTATAGCTTCTTTAGTGAGCATTTTAAACTCCCTAAAATTTTTCATCACTAAAAATAAATTACCAATTTTGAGGAGAAATTTGCATCTCAATAAAATTTCCATTTTATGATAGTAAGCTACTGTGAGATACAGAAGAGTCAGAGTTGAAAGTGGACAAGAGGTGCAGGAGAAGATAAAAATGTGAAAAGTTTATGAAGACAATGACCGTATGCACAGACATAGAGGGGGGGTCAAGGTCCCCTGGAATATGCATACTTATCAATTATATGTATATACTAAAACCCGCTAGAAATGACCTTGCACCACCTGGAAAACACATAATTGAGTTAGGTGTGTTTGAAAAGTCAATGGATAAAATCTTCCCCAGCCCGAAATAGGATTTAACATTTGGGTTGTAGTTTTTTTTTGGCTTGTCAAGAAATTTCAGGGTAATTTTTTTTCCTTTTTTTTTTTACTGTTGTAGACCCTGGCCCCTCTCACTCTGGAAAAAATTCCTGAATCTGCACCTGTATGGATAAAACTCATGTGAACTGAAAACAGTTTAGCTGCCAACTCTGAAAAGCAAACTATCTAGCACCTTTTATATATAAGCAATCAGTAGAACTTATACCTGAAATGAAGTCCTTCAGAGAAGACTTGTTTTTGGACCCCACCAATGCGACTGAATATTATTGATCGATGACCTCCATCAACTACATAAGGAAAACAGAATTTTATAATTATTTCATATAAATAAAATAAATGAAAGAATTAAAAGATGGACTATAAAATAAATTATTAGAAGCGCTTGCCTACTGACAGGTCAAATAAAAGTTGCGTAAGATTTCAGACACTGATACAGAACAGATATTCATTTGTCTTACCTGTGTAAAATGACTGCTGAATTCCTAATGCAGCTCCTACAACTGCTGCCAAACCAATTCCAAACCTGCCACCTTTTTTACCACCTTTGGTTAGCAAATCTTTCAACTTGTTTGGATCCATGCTTTTCTACCGGTGTGTTAGATTTTCACATGTGCAGGGCAACTACGTCCTTGAAAAGCTTTACATCATGCGAACTAGAATAAAAATACATGACCGCTTTTAATGGATTCAAAGTTTCGGAACAATTATACCACTATGAATAATTAAAATAAAATTCTAAAAAATTGCTATTTACCACAAAATAAATATTTATTCAAATATAAAATGTAAGCGTATATAAAAAATTCAAAGATTTTTATTATAACTTTTATTTTCGTTTTTATCCGGATAAGAAAATATTTCTAAAGATACACCGGAAGTATCCATTTGTAAGTCAATTCGCTCTCTGGATTTTTCAGTCCACCTGGTGTTAGAAAAGCAAGGGAACATATCAAATCGAATTCGT